TGACGAACTGAAGAATTGAACTGAAGCTGCCAAAAGTGATGACATCTGACATGTCAAGGTCAAACGAGTCCTCTCCTTGTCTGCAGGCAGACAAATGGGCGTCAAAGTACAAAGCTGGGTCTGATACGGTTGCCGCTGTGATGGCCAGTGTAATTAGTTCGCTGAAGGATATGCCATACACTCAAAGTGACATAATGAATCCTGGGAACTGTCCTCAGCCGTTAGATAAGTGTCAGTTAAGAACACAGCTCTATTAAAACCAGGGGGAAATCCTCTTGTTGCATTGTGCTTCGCTCCTTCTTCATTTTCTTGTGCACTTTCTTTTTCTTATTTCCACTCGAGATGAAAGCTAGAACTTGCAGGTCTGCTGAATGATGAATTTCTGACAATGAAAAAGTCAGTTTCATACACATAAGCCTGTATCTCTGCAGAACTGCAGCCACTTGTCTTATTCTTATTATTAATCGACTCATTTCCTCCTGGGTTTCTTTAATCTCTATTTGTATCTTTTGTTTTATGTTAAAATCTTTGTGTCTTTTACAAGACCTCTTTAAATAACGTCGACTTGACAGAAAGCACAATCACAGCAGCGGCACTGTGCAACATAGAATGGCCTCAGCAATTATTGAGCAATTAATCACTTGGCAGATCACTGCAGCTTCTTCACGCTGTGGACAAGTGCCTCGGTGGGAAGCCAAAGGCGGCACTGTACGATGCGGGTGGCGCTGAGGGAGCAGGTGCTTCAGCAAACAATAGCTCTATATCTAAGATCATCTCGGCACAAAAACAGATTCACAGTGGAGGTAGACAGGGATGTTTTTCTGGGGCATTCAGCAAAGCAGATTAATCATCTTTTTAGTGATGCAGCGGGAGTAGCTGTTGCTGTGATCAGTGGCGAGCCGTTTGTTTGTCTCTGGTTGTAGTGCGCTGAGCACCGTTCAATGCTTGTTGCTCCTGGGAGGGATTTGCTGCTGTGAGGGTCTTTTTTAGCACAGCACACACCATTCATTCAGCAGTGTGTGTACCTGCTATTCTACTCTTCTTCCTCCACATTTCATTGCAAAGTCACCTCCCCACCCGTGATTTCCCCTTCGGCCGTTCACAGTTCAAAGTCTGCACTTGACAAGATGAGTGGCTGAGGCCTGGTATAGTGTAACATCTTTCTAACTACATGATGGGGCGAGGTAGATTAAACCACCAGAGAGTGACAGTTACTTCTTCTGCTGACAGGCAACAGTCGAAGCATAAACTTCCCACAGGTTATGTAAATCAGATCTAGAAATTCTTCCCCCGTCATGCCTATCAGATTTAAAAGCCATTTCCGTTGACTATTACATGGCTTTCTGCTCCACAGACACACCGAGAAACACAACATTCTTTCATTAATGAGACCAAAACAGAATGGGCAATCTTGACAACTCTTCACCAAAAACCACCACCGCTTCGCCATCTCAGTGTGGGACACGAACACTAATTAGCTCCTTGCGTCTCATTATGTTTCATTGCCGTCGCCTTTCCCCAGAACCGAACATTCTCAAAGTCATTGTTAGTTTGGAATTGGAAACACTGCGTTATATACTTTGATTCAAATTCAACACAGCGTTATAGAAATAAAATACTTGAATCCTTTGATCTGAGCTGCTGTGTTAGACTAGGCCTCCTGCTGTTCTCCACGCTGACTCGGTGGTGGGCCACGTTTAATTTGCAACTGATGCTCTTGCTAATCTTGTTTGAAAAACACATGTAGTGTAGATGAGTGTAGCAAGGAGACGTGAAGTGGACACCAGGTCATCCTTCAGTCTTCATCGGCAGATTATTTGTTAATTAAACTCTCACACAGAACTTTTCTGTCCTTCCTATTAATTTTTTAATTGTATTATTATATCTTATATCATTTTCTCCTGGATCTTCTTTGCACATTGCCGCTCAAGACTGGAAAGGACCCTCAACCTGGTTCTCCGAGAGAGTAGTCTGCTAAATCATGCATGAGGAAAAACTAAGGTTAAAATATGTGGTTCACATTTTAGACAACGCAATTCATATTTTCCACATTAATGATGTATGAGGCCTATTTCACCTACCCGAACCCATCTGCTATTAACATGTTCATTTTTACATTACCCACCCGACCTTCGGCTCAACCGCATGTAAACAGGTATAACTGCAATCCACGCATCACTAGTTGACAACTATAACATCAAAATCATATTATCACACCCTACTGGAGTTTTCCCAGCATGTTGCAGCATCAACACAAAGCAGTCAGCTACTGCTCCGGCCTTGGGTGTTGTAAATTAGATGAAAAAAATAACAAGGAGTTGAAGCTTTTGTATAATTACAAAGAAAACTTTGTATTCCACAGTAGCATTGTGCACTTAAATGAAGCTTTGCGTTAGTTCATGCAGGACACGGAGTCATGTGCTGAGCTGTCAGCTACAGATAGGTTACGGTAGCTCGTCAGCCACCCACCAATCACAGCTCATTCTCTCACCAAAGCGGTTCCTTTAAATACGACCTCATCCTCCTCCACCACCCCAGCTTCCACCAAACACGGTCGTGGTAAACGATATTCATCCTAAACAAAGGCACATTACCTGCTACACCCAACAGGGGGTTCTGCACATGTTCCCTGTTTTATCTTAGCACGCTGCTCGGCTAATCCAGGGAACATCCAAGGAATGGAGCCTTCTACACCAATCATAACTGTATCCCCATTTGCAACAAATGGGTAAATCAAGACATAATGTTCCTGACAGAACTGTTTCAGGGTTTGGGATTTAAAATCTTGGGGCGAACATGGGATGTATGACATTGTGGATGTAATGCTGACATGAATGAAAATCAGACTGTGTTCTTTAACATGGAATATTGATGATATATTCAAACATAATAATCAAGTAATTATTCATCACTTTCTTTTTCACCAAACAGTGTCTGTCACAAATGTGAGCAGTCAAACCCTAAACCATCTGCATTGAGAGATACTGCTATAGAGATAGGTGGGTTTCTCTTTTGCAAAATGGGTGAAGATACCCTTTTAGCGAATCCTTTCCCCCCTTGACGTGATGGACAGTATCATTATCCCTCTTGCTTGAATTTATCGCCTATACATTCAGCCTCTCTCCCCCTTTTTCCCCCCCACCATATGTACGCCCTATTTGTTGCAGTGATGTATGACATGCTGCAGTATGCTGTGGAGCCTGTCAGGGCAGAGCTGAAGTCTGGATAACACCCACAGATTGACTACCTGAGCTCAGTTGCAGCTACACTCCCAAATTTATCGGACCTAGGGGATGTTGGTCTGCTGTGAAATGAAGGGCTTCATCTCACGAGCTGCTAATCTTGGTTTGCTTTTGCTGTCTAACCTCGAGGGGTAATTGGTTCTTTGGTCCTGACTTAAGTTGTTCTAATTTGCCTCACTGTACTCTGTCCTCCCTATTGATCTGTCTCAGGGAATAGTTTGTCCTGCAAGGTTATTACTTTTGCCCTATCAGCAGTGACCTACAGATTAATAGGTGTTTTATAATAACAGGAATGCTGGTGATGAGAACATACAGCTGTTTGAGTAATGAGGTTGCTTTATGCGACAGTTAAACAGTAAAAAGTAAATCGGAAATAAAGAGCAGAGACATAAAGAGAGGAGACAATAAAACAAAATGCTAAAGGAAGATTTGAGCTGCAGGGTTTTGCAGAAGAATACTAAACAGCACTATTTGCAGAATTTAAGATATTTATGACAACTGCTTTGGCAGAGATAGATAGAACCATGATGGATTACTACCCTGCCTGCCAACCACCGCTCCTCTCGATCCAGTGACTGTTAAAAACCAGTTGGTTGAAATGAAATCAACAACTGTTTAATGACCGAGAGCACGGACGAAATGACAATCTTCCACTTTATTATTACTCTGCAGAATCCATCTTCATTGGGATTTTGTCATTGCACCACATGCTGTGGTTTAGTGAAAATAAACTGAAGGGACGTCTTTTGCCGTCAGGAGTTGTTCAGAGTTTGTTAATTAAGTCACTGATTCACAGGGTTGGCCCACTTTGTTTTATCTAAATATGATCAGTGACATAAAAAAAGAGAAACTTGACTGTACGCTTTAGGACTTCTTTCTCTATGCGGTGCGCTTCTTGCATCAGTCTTACAAATTGCATTACTGTTACATCTATAATGTTGCCCTCTCAGTTTAGTGAAACCCAATGTACTCCATTATGCCATTTATCTGCAGTAAAACTATAGATACAATAAAAAAGTACATGGCACACACAACATCGTTCACAGCCTCATGGCCGTTTATTTATATAGTTCTAAATATCCTCATGTTACAGTGATGGTTAAAGCTATGAAACAAATCAAGTCCTGTTTGATCAATAGGGAAACAAATCGAAGAACACACTCACACACACACACACACACACACACACAGAGCAGAGATAGTTATGTCCCTATAAATGAGACTTAGGAAGATGAACACGGAATAAAATGCCTCTTGTTTAGGTGCACATTTGTGATCTTGCACGATTCATGATAATATAGATAAAATTAGAATCACTTTAACTATAAACAGTGCAGAGTGTAATTAACCTTCTAACATTGGAAACTGCTTGAATTGTCCACGATAAATTGTGTGTTGATATTGTAAATTTGTAACAGACCAAATTTTCTTATTTTAAGCTCCATAAAGTCAGAAACCTGAATTATTTACCATTCAATGTTGTTGCTTGGAACGCCCTGCAGCAATTTTCAGGTCAGGTTTATTACCTCTCCTGAGGAGGTTATTTGTTCACCTGTGTGTGTTGATTTTTTCTTCTGATTATTTTTTTGTCATCAGGATTTAGCAAAAAGTAAAGAACCAAATTGCACCAATTTGTTTATTGGCCTGTTGACAGAAGCTACTGTGTTAACTTTAGCAATAACTTGCCTAACTGGAGGATGAGGACATGTTTATTACTTTGTCTACAATGTAAATTATTTATATATCTATCTATATAGATAGATATAGATATCTGTAGAAAGGCCTGTAAACCGTGTTCAACCGAGGAAATGTTTTGCATCACCCGATCTCAAATGTCTGAGAGGCTTTATGCCATTATGAACAAAGCTCAGATCATTGGGCGAGATACAGAGCAGTGTATCATTTGCATATGTTAGCAGATAGGTGTTATAATAGTGGCATATTCAGAAATGCAGAGAAAAGACTGGGTCCCATGACTGAATCTTGAGGCACACCACAAAAAATAGATCAGCCACAAGATTAAAAGAGGTGATTAAAAAAAATACTTTTAGGTTTATCTGCTTTAACTCAACTTCAAAATGGGAACAATCAAGTTTCAATATGATTTTCTTGTGTCCAGCCCAAATCAGGTCTAATGTTGTTTACTGCTTAAAGTGGTTTCATGTCTGGCCATCTGTCTTACACGATGCATCGTTCAAGTCCTTGAGACTGACATAGGCCAATGCTTAGCTTATTCTACTTAAGGAGGGACAATGACAATGCAGATACTGTTTTCGGCCTCGAATACTCCAACAGTTAAAGAATGTGTAAAAATAGCTGAATGTATTGGAGGTTAGAGGTAAACAGCTTGTCCCAGATTTACCACTGCAAGAACTTTCCAAGTTTTTTCCTCTGGTCTGTATTGAAAAAACAGATAAAGCAAATACCACTCAACTAACCACTTTTGTGCTTGGGATCCCTGCTGTTTGCTATGAAGGAGGAATTGTTGTCTTTGCAAGCCGCGTATGGCACTGAGGATTGTTTGAACAAGTTGTTAAAGCCAAAAACAGCTGGGGGTGCTGTCGTCATCATCATCATCATCATCATCTGAGATCAGCTGCCTCACCAAAGCAAAGCAGTTTTAGCCATCTAATTAGAGAGGCAAGTGGAATGTGTGTTCAGTAATTAAACATGACTCTCAGAGGATATTATAAAATGTCTCTTGTTAGGAAGAAAGGTTCCCCACCTCCATTTTAGGTGAGGTCCATCTATTAAAAACATAATTTAGTCCAACATTGAGTACATCGAGAGTCTTGGCGGATGACTAGGTACTCAAGATTTGAAGGATCTAGTTAGTCAGACAACAGGTCGGGTGAGCAATAGCTTTAAAACTATAGCTGCTGCCAACATATCATCTCTGTTAAATAGAAGAATCAGGGCAAATCATTTGCTGTTGTTGAGATCTTTATTTGCCTTATCAAAATGATTCAAGCCAAGTTTTCCATTCTTGCTTCCCTTTGATAGTAGAACCTGATTCTCTGATAGAAACTCGGGTTCATTCTGACGGAGCTTGAGTCTACTCTCCAGTTTTATTGACCACAGTCCTGCTCTCTTCTGTGCACTGGTGTGGGAGGAGTTCGAGAGTAGCTGTTATGTTTTCATCCTGTTATGTTTTGAAGCTGTATTGATGTAATAAAGTCCTTTGTTTTTATTTTCGGTTCTACCCTGACTGACATGAGAACAAAGCTCCTTTTTTCATGCATCTTGCAAGCAGGCGTGTCACGTCAGAATCTGACATCATCCAAGCATGACTTGAATAGTGTGTAGCCCGGATCAGAGGACATGTCTTCAAAATCTCCAGTCTGAGGTTTATTGTCATATTGGATCTGATGTAAGAACATTTTCATGCTCTTATTCTTAATCTGTTGCACTTTTCCCCTGAAGCTTGCCGGCTTTATCAAGTCTTTGTCACATGAGCATAGCCATACTGACTGAATTAAGGAATGACCTGACATGAATTCAGATGCCAAGGAACATCTTGCCGGAGCAAAGCAAGCCACGGGAGGTGGTCAATGAGGCATAATAGCCACTGGGATAAATGAGAGAAAACACTTAATTATAGTTGATGTAACACTGCTGGGTTTCCCCTGGACAGCAAGTTTCATTAGAAGCAGCTGTTGGAGTGTGGGGATTTTCCTTGTCTATATCATATTTGCTTTCAGTTTGTATTTTTGATTACTTGATTACAACAACATTCAAGTTTATTTCCCGATGTGGAGAAATGCTGACTCATGCAAAAGACTTGAAACATATGGGAATTTTATTTGTGCCTAAAAGAATAGAAAATAGAAAACAAAAATGATACACTGTGAAAATATTACATCTCTAATTTGTGATTTTGCATTTTTAAGTTGCTGTCACTCAAGTCCACGTGAAAACAAGTAAGAGGTTCCATTGCACAGTGTGTTTCTGAGCCTGAGAGTATTTTCAAAGCAACTGTCTATTTCCTATTTTAGGTCACAAGGCAACGCAGGGATTCTGCAGTAGTAGTAGCTTTTGGATTGAAGTGACAAATGACACAAGGTTACAGCTTGAGTGGATTTCCCACCTGCTTCTCTGCCATTTGTCAGCTCAGGAACATACGAGAACCCTTGCACCTCACAGAGTTGTTGTGCCTTTTGACAGGAATACAGTGTCTTGTAAACTGACGATCAAATAAATGAGAGCAATGCTGACTGGGATTTGCACGAGGGCACAGAACTAACCAGATATTTGACATGTTTTATGGGATGTAAGTCATAACTCATCATATTCTCTGTGACAAGGTAATTTGTAATTCATCTAATTAACTTCCCGTTGATATTTAAGTCTGTCAGTGATGTGACGCACTCCACAGAAACCCTTGCAAATGAAATTGGAAGTAATATTTATTTTATGTCAAACTGTAGCAGATAATCATATTCCTGACTCTTCTCTTTTGACTTCTAGTCACTTTTTTCATTTATTCAACATTTTTAGACACATCCATCCATCCTATCCATTATCTATACAGCTTGTTCCTTGAGGCTCAACCATAAAGACTAACATTCTCACCTAGGGTCAATTTATAGTTTCAAATTAACCTAACCCCAATCTGCATGTCTTTGGACTGTGGGAGGAAGCTGGAGTACCCAGAGAAACACCCCCCACACACAGGGAGAACATGCAAACTCCACTCAGAGAGACCCCCATCGAACCAGGATTCAAACCAGGAACCTTCTTGCTGTAATTTGACAGTGCTAACCGCTGCAATACCATTTCAGCAATATGCCTCGGTTAAATCATCACAAATGTAAATGGATAGAAAAGCAATGCTGCACTGGACGCTTCTTGTAAGCATCTCTTTCACATTGAAGCACTTCATCATATAGGAAAACAGCATTAATGACACTGGCAGTGAAACGGAGGGGGCCCACCTGTAAATGATGCATGCGCTGTTTCGACAAGTGTCACAATTTGCTGTGTCTTGTCCTGTTCGGTAGGAGAGCCTGTGAAAAGACAGATGAAAAGATTTATGGAATCTCCAGAGAAAGGCTTGAGCTTTGCATATCAACAGCTGTGGGGCATGAGCATTGAACAGCCAGATTTGTTCAGGATGGTTTTCAGCCCCGTGTTGTTTATTCCTAACAGGTGAATATGCAGCAGGAGATCTGATCCTGCGGTTCTCTCAGATTTGGTTAATCAAGTGTGTAGACTTACTTATTTTACATAATAGGATTACCTTGTTTTGCCATAACCATAGTTTAGAAAGGTGTTACGTGTCTCTATTCTATAGGCAATAGGTTAGTGGGAGCTAAATGCAGCATGAATCATGTGTAATGAAAAATCAATATTGTTACAATCTGGGCTTTACTTTACATCTTCATTATTTTCATCTAAATCAATTTGTGACAGACATAATAAGCATCAAGAATGAATAAAAATTAACAGGACAAATTGTTTCTTCTTTGTGTACGGCAAAGGCACATTTCCCCCTGGGGACTGTTTGCTGTACTGTTTAATAGTTATAATATTGTCAAAGGATGTCCACAAGAACCAACTGCAAGCTATTTCCTTGGGTAAAACAGACGCTTATGTATGCACAAATCAAAAGGGACACATGAAACCCTCATCAGCTTTTGATGGTCCAACAGTCGACGTTTTTCATTCAATCTTCCTCACTTGAGTTTACATAAGCAGGCAGGTGTGCGTATTGGTATTCATGCTTGTGTCCCTGCATGCAATGGCAGGCTGCAGTGGTATGGGCGACGAGGGGAGGGGCTGCGTTAGAGCTGCACATGTAATTGCTTGCTGTCACCGTAGCCCTTCACCCTGATGGATGACATGTGGAGGGGTTGGACCTTAGCGGTCACCGTGACATGGGATGTGACCTCGGTGGAGGGGGGGACAGGGCAGCCTCTTTGTGGATCGGGAATGCTAATGGGGCTCAAAGTCAACAAGTTCATCCATCCTGCCCTGTTCTCAAATGAAGTGTCTTTGAACAGCTGTGAGCAAGGACAGTAACTCACTGCGCAGACAGGTTCTACACCAGCGCTGCGTCGTTGCAGGGCTTATCGTGTACATCCTTGTAATTTAAAGAGCCTTGCACTAATAATCAAAGCACATTAACCTTAATTTATGATTTTACATTAACTCAGCATTGAAAGAAAAAGCCTTTCTTTCTCATTCAGGGTTCGTGACCCAATATACTGCAGTGGCACTGTATTAAAAGCCCAGAATGTCACAGAGAACAAGCTCACGTATTACAACAAATAACTGCTGCCTCTGAAAGTCATTCTCTGAGCTGACTGTTTGCTGGCACAGTTGCACTGCTGTGTTGTTTGCCCACGTCAGCTGTCCTGGGCTATGTCCTGCCCTCATCATTCTGGTCTCACTGTCCACACCTACAGTACGTGCCTGCAGCTCTGCCTGCCTGAGAGCTGCTTGGTATTTTGTGCCGGATTGATAACGTGTGAACAAAAGCTACAGTCAGGACAGGTCACATGATCTCATGTGACATTCTACGTTTTATATAAGGGGTAATGCTGCGTGTTATCCAATGTCCAACACATTGTCTTTGTATACAGACAAAGCACAGAGGACATTTACTGTACACTTCAGTTCCCTGACAAGCATTAGTAGAAACCTTCACATCTGTATACAACTGTGTATATATACAGGATTATGGCAATTCTATCAGTGTGGCATGACTCTGGAGCTTCATTTTTATGTGTGATGCATATAAAGTCAGACTAGTGTTACTATGAAATATGATGTTGTGCAAAAGACTAATATTCTCTTTGTGACCAATAAGCCTTATCGTTTACAACCACCTTGAGATAAAAACCCTGAACACTAGAGTTTGTTTTATAGACAGAAACTGGTTGTGGTTTTAAGATATATTCAGTTATGCTGGGATTGAGTAAAACAGAGCCAAACATCAAGCATTGCAGGGGTGCACATGCCAAACAGCTTTATGGGCAATAGCGCAAGTGAGCATGCAGCAAATAGCACACAGCTATATAATGCACAAAGGAGCAAAACACCATGTTAAAGTTCTCTTATCTTATTGTGAGTTGTGTATTGATTTATTTGGCTCATTATGAAACTGTGGCAGGACAAATTACAATATGGCGGGCTGCCACAGTCTTGATAATTAATGGAAAACTCTGCTTTGACATGATGAGATGGGGAATTAACCTAGGCGTGGAGTGGTGTGCTCTGTATGCTAAAAGCAGTGCCATAAAAATCAGTGGACATCGTGTGTTTATTCTTGGTGAGAACAGACAGGTTTAAAGTTTCTTTTTGGTTTGTTTCACTGTAATGTTTTAAAGAAGACTTCTGACTCTCCAGTCATTTTAAGGAGGCACTTCTCTAATAACACCAGTGGAACACAATGCAGTGAAAACACAATAGCATGGTTATAGTAACAGTTTTGTGGATTTTGAAGGCGCATGTGTTATGAAGCTGCACTAATTGGGCCTTTAAAACCAACTTCCACAGAGCCACACTGGGGTGCCTTGTTCTCCACTGGATGTGGATACGGCTTAAATACAATTTGGTTTGTGTTTCCACGGGTTTTAGAGATAGAGTTCATCGATTCTTAGAATTACACTGCTTTAGGAATCTTACTCTGGACATGGCTCGGGGACTTTATGAAGCATGTCAATACATTTTCTCCTTTAAAGGTATGTCCCTAATGGAATATGACACTTGGTCTTATAAATAAATTACAGAGAGAGAGTAAAGATGCGTATTGAAGTGTATTTGAAAAGCCCCAGTACACATTGTTGATTGGTTATCATATAACACTACATTTTTAGCCATGCTAGGCTTTGTGAAACTATGACTTTTCACATATTCATTGAAATAGCTAGAGATCTAATTGACAGCTTCTGTATGGATTGCTGTGAAGTTTGGATCAGGCATTCATGGTACCCAGAGGATGCAATTTAAACACTTTGATCTAATGTAGATGCTGATTCAGCATTCCCATCAGCCTTAGCTATACTTTCTGTTCAGTGCTAATCAGCAAACGTTAGCATGCTTACATGCAAAACTAAGATGGTAGCTATAGTAGAAAACATCATTCCCACAAAGCTTCATTATTCCATTATGACTGGGAGTATGTTAGCATGCTGATGCAGACCATGGATAAAATGATGTGGATAAACATATTCTTTATATATTATATACAGGAAGTTCCATTACATCATATTTATCCATAAAACATGATTTTGCCACCAGTGCTTTTTTCAAGCAGTGAAGAATTCAAGCCTAAATGTACCTCGTCAGTTATTTTGCTAATATTTGTGAAAAAATGATGACGACATTCCACTCTCGGAACACAACCAGCTGAGCACACACCAACACACATCTCTATAGAGAGCATCTAGGGGTAAGACTGACACATACACATGGGCACATTGTATTGTTTTGAAGCGCAGGCTAGTGGAAGCTCGTCATAAAATCTACACGTACAGTGAATTGAAACTTAATTAAGTAGTTGGCTGTTTGGCAGGCAGACATGAAAACTTTGCGGTCATTCCCCTAGGTTTTCAAGGCAGCTGAGAAAACCCTTGGACCCTCTTCAGTCCACGAGTATTTGAGTTTGGGTCATTCAGCCGCCATGCTCACTCACAGTGTCACCCCCACTTCCATTTGCTTTTTTCTCCTTCTCTCCTTGGATCTACTCTGACCTCATTCAAGGCTCCTCTGGAACCCAACTGAAGTCCATCATAGTGACAGAGAACTTAAATCACTGAATCACTAAATAAAAATAAGATGAGGAAAACAAAAAAAACACACCTTCAGTCAGAGGTTAAAATCCCACCTCTAGGTTACAGTCAAACTTTTTTGAGAGATAAACCTCTTGACCATAGCTTTTTATCCTGAATGTTGGCATTGTAAATCTTACTGTACTCACCCCTCTCTCTGTGCTTCGCCTTTCTCTAGCTCCTGAATAACTCCAAGTAGGACCTTGATGGTTTCCTGGCTCGAGCTGATGAGGTTCTCCATGGCCTGCAGCTGTGCTTTGATATCCTTGTCTCCAGATAAGGGCATTATCTGCTGGCTGCTCCCCATGCCTGGGGCTCTCGTGTCTCCTAGAGGAAAGCCCTCATCACCCCCGACTGTTTGCTGGAGTTTAGAGGAGGCTGACACATGTCTTGTCCGACACTGCCCTTGTGACTGTACAGAACATTTGGCACTATGGGGAAGTGTCTGTGACTGCTGTTTGTTTAACTGTGTGCCTTTTTTCCGCTTACAGCTCATAGAGGGGCTTCCTAAAGACTCCACCTGTGTTAAGGTGTTCCACGCAACGGGGCCCATTCCTTTTGACTTTTCCTGTGAAAACTCGGAGTTAGCAAGCTGTCGCTTTGAGGACGTGCCAGCATCCACGCCTTCTTTGGGTAATCCTTTGTGTTTGGTCCTTGTCCCACAAACCTGGTACTCTTGTTCACTTTTAGAAGGAGGGCTGCTTGGATGGCCCTCTTCAGAGAAATGCGATTCTGGGCATGAGGGTCCATCAACACAGTTGGCACTGGAAAGCAAATCCTCTGTATCACTGCTGTCATCAGTGTGGTGAAGCAGTGCTTTTGTCTGTCCCACAATCTTACCCTTGTACTTAGACGACTCTTCGAGAGGTAGTCCGTCCTCTCCTGTCGTCTTTATATCACTCAAAAATCCATTGTTCTGTCCTCTGTAATCTTCCACCAAAGCAGTGTGTTTAAATGTATGTCCCTTTTTCCTCTCGAAAGGGAAAGTCTTGTATCGCTTAGTGAGGTCTGGTGAGGTCTGGACACCAGTACTCTTGGTCACATTTGGAATGGAGCGTCTGGCAGGCATGGTCATGTATTTTCTGTGAGTCACTTTGCAGGAAATGGATCTGGAGTGTCTCCCCCGATTCTCATTCTGAGCTTCACAGATATCTTTAAAACGCACTTGTAGGGCCTTGTTTCTCTTCTTTACCTGCGGCTTGCCTGATTCTGGTCCGGACTGCGTTTCAAGGTGTGATTGGCCTGTCTCTGAATCTGAGTCATCTGAGTTTGAAAAAACAACGTATGTGGTGTCCTCTTTGCTCACCATATTTCCTGTAAAAGATAAAAGAGGAACAATCAGAGACTTTGTGTTGCCTGATTCTTTTCTCCTTTTGGGACTGAATTTACATTTTGCAAACACATTATAAGCTTCTGATAAAATCTGTGATCCAAATTCGTAATTCAAATATGGGGACTTTATATATATATATATGTAATCAATCATTCCCCCATTTATGTATTCAAATACAGTTGTGTCTCACACAAATTACTGATTGGGGTGTTTCAGAAGTTTTTGTTCCTCTCTCCTGAATAATGCAACTATCCCATACATTTATGCTATGCACACCACCACTTAATCACTCCAATAGATTTGGCATAGCAGTCAGCTCTTAAACACTGCAATACCCAGGAGCCATGGCCACCATCGCAACAGAAAAGAAGCATGAGTCAGAGTTGGAACAGTTTCAAAATGCTTTACTGATGCTAATGAGAACAAAAAATAGTTGCAGAACTATTCAAAAAATTTTCCTTGGATTTAATCCAACCTGCAGTTTGTGGAATCTTTTTTTTTTTTAATCATTGTATTCTTTAGTGTCCACTCAGCATTAGTGATGCATGCTACAGAAATTCAGCATCAGGAACTGGATGTATTTTGCAGAAATGCACCTTGGAAGTTTAGTTAACTTCTTACTTCTGTTTTAATGTACACAGTCGTGGACCATCAACCCTTTTGAATGCATTTCTTTAACTTTGGTATCGATCATTCAACATTTTTCTGATTGATTCACCCTGCATTTCCCTAAGGAATATTTCGGTGAGGCCTCCTCACTGTGTTTCTACTATGCCTCTTGCTGCTGCTGCTGCTGCTGCCAACATTCAGGATCCAAGTTCACTGACTGTTATAAATAAACACCTGAAGCTAAAGGTACAATTTTGGTGTTAACTTGTGCTGCTATCATCTGTTTAGTTTTTCTTTCCTCCATTTTTGCTAAGTTATTTGTGAATGTACTTACATCTGACTGTGCATAATACCTCATTTTGATGTCATATGACACGATGGTCATCATTTATGCACGCCCAGTGGCTTGTCTGGGGAAGCCCCGAACAGAGCTTTCCAACATTTGCTGGAAAAGGTTTACCAATCACAACAGAGTAGGCCAATTGGCCAATCAGAGCAGACTGGACTATATTGGGGGGGGGCGGGGCTTAAAGAGACAGGAGCCAAGTGTTACAGACAGAGGCTGAAAAGAGGAGCTGCAGCAATAGTAGAGCATGTAAACTTTTTAAAATAATATTTTAAGTTAAAATTATGGACCTGTATATCAACACAATACAGAGCTGCTGTTTGTTTTATCGTTCCCAAATTCCCACAGACCTGTGTGTGACCTAAAGTAACTTTGAGTGGCAAACATTATTTTTCTTTTGGCTATTACTTAACAAATGCCTTGTGACACATTTATGTTATTGATTCATGTTATGGTGAAATAATACTCACATTTCAGGATTATGAGTGTTTTGGGCTTAGTTGGTTTTGTGGCTTATTTCCCTCCCTCTCCGAGAGAAATGGTTCATATTACATTTATTTCCTTAAACATGATTCACACTTGCTTTGCTGCACACAGGAAAGACATATTTACAATTTTTCCACATGGCTCATATTCAGCCATACTTTATGTTCCAGCTTAAACAAATAGGTTAATGTGACAGTTCAACTTACTTTTCTTTATATCATCATAATTACATGTGAAATGCTGATCTCCTGTCCACACACTTGTGGTTATTGCCTTGTCAATATTAGGACTTAAACTATAGTTTGGGGAGCTACTTTGTTTTCATTGGAATGGTTTAAGGTGTTCTGTTATGGCTGTGGGGTGGTTGGTGCTTGGTCGACTAGAAGGTGTTTACTCTATAATATATTCCCTTTGTGCTCTGAGTTCCAAAGCAGAGGAAATGACCACACAGCAGCTGTGGCCCACACATAGACTCCCCATAATTGCTGATATTTAGCTCCTCCACATGTAACCACCTGTGGGCTCTGACTCTAAACTCCCCAGAGGAAAATTTATTATCATCCCTCCCAGGTCTCTGCTGCACTGAGTGGACTGACGAGGTCGGAGCTCAGACACCAAATATAAACTATGTACATACTCTGGGACGACATCATAAATCTGTTCCATGTGGCTGAGCTGACCTTAAACCTTTAATGTTCACAAATGACTGTTACAACTTTTTACTATAAAAAAATGCAAACAGTTAAAAATACATTTATTACTCAACCGCAAGTGCATGAATAATGAAACATCTTCGTAAATGAGAAACACTTTTCTCCTCAGAATGCTACGGTCTCCAAAAAGAGTTCAGCATATTTTCCAACAGCTGTTTTAGCATATGGTTTATAAAACAGTGGTTTGAACGGAAGTTTAATTGTATAAATTTGAATATTTTTAAACACCCAAGATCAACAAATAATTTATAGACTTAAATAATTTCTTGTGTTTGTAAATGTAACACTATAATGAGCCAATTGATGCTCTTCATTCATAAGATGTATCTCATTTAAAGTTACCAGTGTCATACAAATATTGCACTGCATGGCCATTTACATCAATTTCTCATGCAGTTAACAACTTTAATTTTTAATTAGTAATACCAAATAGCTCCAATCACTTGAGTGTTTTTTATTTCCAGTGTCATAACTTGATTTAAATTGATTATGCAACCAATCAACGAGCAGCTTCGAATCACACATATGAGTTAAAATGTCTTTCATGAGACAACAAAGTAGGTTTAGAGTCTCTCCATGCAAAGAGCTCAGAATTAAGGTCCATACGATCAAATGAGAAATATTGCATTTTCTGTCTCATCCGTGATGAAACACATTTCAAAGCTTGTGCTTGAAATATATAAAGCAGCACAAGGAAATGAAATGATGTCTGATATGGTTGAAAGGAAAGATCAGAAAGAGCTGGTTAATCATTTTCATATGACAAGACACGGATGCGATAAATAAACTCCAATGAATCATTTATTACCACACAAAGCAAGCCGCTGAAAGTAATCATGTTTTATCATTCAGAGACAGTGTAAATCCATCACTGTGATTGTTATGGTGGGGAAATTTATACTGAAGAGACATTTCCTCACTGTAGTTACACATCTGTCATGTGAAGGGAAAAGCACTGGTAGAGTGGACTGATGTTAATTTCTAATGAGCAGTTGATTTTTATCTGCAGAGTTTCAGGAATGTAATGACTGAATGTATGAAAGTCACAAGTAGAGGAAAAGTAAAATACTTTTTCAATGATGGCAAACTGTCTATGACTCTGCATTATTTTGTATGGGTTAAGATTGTGTAGCTGGAAATGCACATGAGCACATTTTTACACGTTTGCATATCTTAAACATAGACTGTATATTAAGATGGATGACATGACAGCTCCCCAGAAGTGAAGCCAAATCATCTTGATTACCCCCTGGTGGCTGGCTGTGGTCTAGGTCATAAGCCCGGCCTTCTCTATGTTAGTGGATGGGACATTAAACTAAAAGGTAAAAAGTCAAAGTACATGTGAAATACATTTTCCTCGAAGTTGGTTTCTGAGATTTAAGGTAGCTCTTATCGCACTATTGTACAGTATGTATATTGGCGGGATCTCAATACTGTGGCTCCACACCATTATAACTTCTGTGAGCACTGGCTCCAAAGAACGTTACAGTTTTGCCTACGTTTTGTACAAGAGGAAGTGGAGACGCATCGTCCATCTTCATGTAGAGTCGCTTTTGTCTTGTGACTGTGAGAGTGAGGAAAAGAGAAAAAGAAAGTGTGCGAGTATTGGTCTGTGTCAGCTTAGTTGTCACCTTTTTCAAAGAGAGGGCATTTGCTGGCAATGTAAGGAACACACAAACACACACACACACACACACACACACACACGCTGCAGACAAGGACTTATGATAAAAAAATGCAAGGTTGTATTTCTTGGGACTCCTGCCATATGTTTCACCTTGTATACTGTCCACTGTAGCCTAACCCTCAGTGCTAACTGATTAAATTGAATATATTTAGAGTCAACGAAGTCTCATCTTGCTTCCTGTTGATGCCGGGGGAGAAGAAATCTGCATGCCAACAGCTTCTAGTGTCACTTCAGTCACTGCAACACATTCAGTGCCAGATGAGACAGGCAGCAAAACAAAACACCAAGCAATTAGCTCAATCTCTTTATACGTGAACAATATGGAATGCTGTGCCATGAGTTTATACACAGTTGTTTTGGAATGTGGAGCGGCTGAGTTTTATTGCAGGGTAGTATTTGTTCTGAAACATAGCTTAGTATGCAGTTTGATTTCAGCCTAAGTTGTTTGTCAGACGCAGTGCCACGGATAAAAAGAATTTGTTCGAGGCTGATTCACATGGGATCATACTATTTCACACCCAGGAATAGCAATCTCACACCACTGAAAAGGTAATCACATCTGCAGGAAGTCTCCTCTGTGCGCATACAATTTCTCATGCAGCCATGTACGGCATGTAAAGCAGCTAAGTGGTAATTCACACAAAGGGAATCAAGAAAAAGCTCTTCAGCAACTTATTATTGTTGGAAGTCAGATACGCACAGAGAGAGGGAGAGTGAGAGGAAAGGCAGCGAGAGAAAGAGAGAGCGACTGACACATATTCACACAGTCGAGCGAGAATCTCCTCTGCCTAGTTGTCTTCTTTCTTCTCCTCCTCCTCCAAGCCCTCCTCCTCCTCTTCTCAAAGCAAACTATATCTCTGCTAATGACCTGAGGTCCTTCCCTGATTTGGCCTCAGCCATCCAAAGGATTATGAATAATGCATTGACTCTAAAATTGCAAAAGTAATCCTCTGAAATCTCCTTATGTACCCTGGCAGACCACGTTGTCTGTTCCAATTGCCCTTCAGTTCTTCACGCTAAAATGCTGCATGTATGAGAGCAAAGGGGGAGAGAGAGAAAGAAAAATGGCAACTACGGTATCATGACTGATTTATTTTGACCACAATGCTGTAGAATCGTGGCTGTTTGTAAAGGA